ACCTCCGATATGCAGGCTCTCCCTGATGGTGGATCGTTGTCCCTGTTCGCAGATGACATATCCATCGTCTACAAGGGTAGGGTCATCGGAGCTCTGACCTCCAAACTTCAGTGAGGACTGGATGTCCTGTCTGATTATTTCAACAGCTGGAAGATGCGTATAAACGTGGCAAAAACCCAGGTCATCGTCTTTCCTCATTCCAAATTTCCCAGACTTGTTCCATCTGAGAATAATAAGATCAACTTGAACGGCACTGTGGTGGAATGGTCCAAAGAGGTAGCCTACCTCGGCATTACACTTGACAGCAAGCTGCTTTTCAGGGAACACGTTGACAAAACGAAAATCAAATGCAAAATCCTGATGAGATCCCTGTTTCCGCTCATCAACAGGAGATCCACTCTGTCTCTGAAAAACAAGCTTGCTGTCTAAAAGAAAACAATCCTTCTCGTCATAGAATACGGGGTCAGAATCTGGGAGAGTACCGTGGATTGCCATCACCTAAAATCAAGCTTGCAAATGCTCATTACAGCTGAAATGCTGTTTTTCGGATTTATGAAGCTATGAAATATTTTAATGATAATACTTCTTTACAAGATGCAAAAAGAGAAGGTAAAGTGTGTGTATGACACATAAAACCTGTCAATTTAGCTTTCAGAGGGTCACAATAGCGATTAGCTGTAACGATGAGCGAGCAATCAGTAATCATAACATTGCTAGTTGTGGTCTTCTGAAAGCAAAATTCGACAGTGAGCATGCATAAGGACCTACACGCGATGATCGATTCTCTTCGTCGATGTTCTCTTTCGTTAATAACTCGCTAGATTTAACGTTTATCGGGGCGTTTGCTGTTACTTTTGATAGCTAAAACAACCTGTTACTGCTCTGCATTGAACAAATTCTAGGAAATTGTTTCACTTAGCTGTAGCAATGCAAAGAGAAAATCGATGAAGAGAATCGATCATCGCGTATTCGCCCTTATGCATGCTCACTGTCGAATTGACAAATTTTATTTGTCATACACAAACTTTACGACCTATTCTTGCCTCTTACAAATAAAAATTATCATTATAGTATCTCATACCGTATGCGTGATAATGTTTAAACCATCGTACAAATAAGGTTCCCGTTTAATCTGTGCATACAATGCCTTGGTTTTCTTTGCATGCACGTAACCTATAGCAAGGTGACTACATATAGGTGTTCTAATGTGTCTAATTCATGATTCAGCCATGTTGGATTTTTTTATGGCACAGCGACCGAGTTTGTTTACAATTTGCTCTAAAACCGCACCCCCCGCGACCTCCTCGCCTATATAGTGACAAAGCTGTATCACCATTTATATACCCACCATGACCTGTAGCTCATACCGTAGTAGGCTGTGTATAAAAGAAAATGGTTTACTTAGTTTGACAGTTGCACCATGACGAAGTGACAGCGTATTCGTGATTTGTCCCACGCGCAAATGTCGCAAAAAGACATTTCAATCGCCGTGGGAGTGTCCCGGTGGACCGTCAAAGGGTTTTAGACCGAGAAAAGAAAGGACAACTATCCGCGAAGGTCGTCCGAGGTCAGCTCGGGTTTCGAGGGTAATCGTTGCTATCAAAAGGAAGATTCGGGTGAATCCAGTGCGTTCAATACGGAAAACGGTAAAGGAACACGGGAACAGTGACTTTACGGCACGGAAGATCGTAAAGGAAGATTGCGGAGCGAAGTCGAGGGCACGGAAAAAAAACTCACATGATTACCAACCGCATCCGGGAGCTACGAGTCGAACGATGCAAGAAAATCTTGAACTTCCTTAAGCGAAAAATCCGGTAATTCCGATCACCGACGAGAGCATGTTTACCGTCGATCCCGTATCAAATTCCAGAACCGACCGGTATATTAGTTCTCTTCCGGTAAAAGACGTGGTTGACGAGCACAAGAACGTGTATCTGATCAAGCATCCTGCTAGCGTTATGGTGTTTGGGTTGGTGGCTTCCGATGGCAAAAGAATGGACCCGGTGTTCATTCCAGAACGCGACAAGGTCAACACGGAGGTCTACATCGGGATTTTAAGTGAGTGTGTTCTTCCGTGGATCAAAGAACAGTACAGTCCGAAGCCAAATGTTGTATTTCAACAAGATGGGGCTCCGTGCCACACCTCGAACCGCACTCAGAAGTAGTTGCAGGAACATCTTCCGTTCTGGGCGAAGGATATGTGGCCGCCATCCAGCCCCGACCTTAATCCGCTGGATTACTCAATATGGCGCGTCATGAAGGCCAAGGCCTATTCTAAACGCCACCCGAGTACAGCAAACCTCAGACAAACATTGACGCGTACCTGGAGAGAAATGGATCCAGACTACATTATTAGAACCCGAGGGGGACGACTCTATCTACAATGCAGGAAATATTGTGTTTTGCTGTGGCTAGCTGCTCGCACACTGAGTAGATAGAAAGAAGATTGATGACAATTCTGAAGATTTCCTGCAAAAAGATGATGCGCAATGCAAGTAGATGCGCGAAATGAAAGAAGATTTTTCGAAGATTAATTCACTAGTGTGAGCCTTTTTGAGCATCTACAATTGAGATTTAGATGTGTCGCCCCCCTCGTTAGAACCTGCCGTGAATTCCGGAAGCGTGTGAAAGCCGTAATAGCAACAAGTGGAAACTCGATCGATGATTAACATAGTTTAAGACTCTGATAAACATCCTCCTTTGAATAAATTAAAAAAAAAAAACCCGAAAACGAAATTTTTTAGAATTTTTTTTAATTTTGGCATTGCTCAATGGTGCAAACATTATCACACATACGGTATTTTCACAATTACGAAAAATAGCATTTTAGCTGTAATGAGCAATTGCAAGCCTGCCTAAAATTACAAATGGTCCAAAACAAGATCCTGATCAACTGTCCTCCACGCACTCAAAACTCTGAGGTCCATCACCTGGCTGGTCTTCAGACGCTGGAATTACGGAGAACTGCTACCATCTAAAGGTTCAGAGATTGCTGTAGGCGATCCGATCAGCAGATCATCAGGGATCTGGCACGTTAGGTTAAGTAGGTAGGTTATCAAATTTTTAAAACTCAAATTTAACAAACCCTTTAGAGGGTATTCTGTAAATTAGCGCTAAACGCAATCGTCATACTAGAAAAATCAGTTTAACCGAACCAAAGGCTGCAAAACCAGTGTTAAAACATAATGAATCAACAAATACATCAAGAGCAAATTTTCATTACGTCGAATGTAACAAAGGTAAACAAAGTCGAGCTATCAGTGTCAATCGATTCTCCTGCTATTACATTATATACTGACCGAATATAGGATCAAATCCCATTTTTAAATTTATTTACCAGTCAAATTGCTTTTTGACGTAATCACTTTCCGATCAAAATAGTTTTCGATGTTACTTAAGTCACCCAATTTCTATGGAGATGCCGTTTGACTTATGTAACAGCGCTGAGAAACCCGTGAAAAGTGTACGTTCGTCGTTTCGCTTTCTCATTATTAAAGTGAATAAATCGAACTGTTTGTTGCTAAGATGATTTCGGTGGTCCTAAAATGATGAATAAGCTGCACGTAAGGAGACGTAATTGATAATTCTCCCGAATATCCTGGTAAATACACTTTGACTTAAGTAACAATAGGGGCCACCAAACGACGTATAATAACTTTTGACTCAAAAACCAGTATTTCTTAGCATGAAAGCTAGCGATTTGCATTTGTATGATTAAAACCCTGCTAAATATGTTAAACATTGCTATCACTATGAGATTATATGTGTTTACTTGGAAATAGGAATAACTTTTCGGTCATCAAAACAAAACTTTATTTTTCTCGGATTGGTGCGAATGTTACTTACGACATAATGAAAATTTGCTCTTGACATGTAAATTTACTACTAGCCTCAACTCATTTTCGCTTCGGACCAGGCAGCAATAGCAGCAGTAGGCAGGTGGTAGTCCACGCTTCTACCTAACAAGCAACACTGACTGGTCGTGGCAAAGGAGGAAAAGGTCTTGGTAAAGGAGGCGCCAAGCGTCATCGCAAGGTTCTTCATGATAACCGCCATCCGTCGTCTGGCTCGCCATGGCGTATCTCCGGTCTGATCTATGAGGTGTTGGGTGCAAGTGATTTTGATCGATTCTCTTCATCAACTTTCTCTTTGAAATAAAATACTACAAATTTGGTAAAACGGAAAGAGTTAAGATAATAGATGATCGATCAATTAAAAGAACTAAATGCCCTTCACATTTGTTCCGTCCACTAGTGGTCCTACGTCAACCTTCCGTTCGTGCCCCTAGGCACAGACCCTTCTACTTTTTTTTTAATTTCCGAGTACCTGGTACACCTACATCTCGAAACACCCTTAGCACGCCTATGTTTTTATCAGCGAATTAGATACGGAAAAAGTGAATTTTTACTTATTCGCCATAACGAAGTGTTTAAGAAAAGAGTTGTATAAGCTATACTAGCTAAAACAATAATAGTTATTACTGCGAAACAACGGTCAACCGAAAGCTAATAACCAACAATGAAGTGGCTGTTCCTGATTCTGATCGTTATCGTTCAGGTGGCATTTTCGATGGGAGTGAAAGAGGGACAGTCGGACATAGCAGGTAAAGTCAAATCAATCAGTGCTTTTCTTTTAAATAATACATTCACGAGCTGACGTTTCATTTAATAGTCAAGGGCTGGAATGACTGTAAGGAGGACGATTGCAGACGAAGCTGTATCCAAACTGGACATGCCACCGGCACTTGCAAAACAACTTGGATTGGTCTGGTATTTTCGGAATGTACCTGTTCATAGACAGTGAATAGCAGTTTGATGTTTACAACAAAATGTGCCACCGGTATGAATTATCAATTGCAAATCTTCAGCTGAAGAAACGAATGCCCAAGGAGGGTGAATGCATAATTTTAATCGATATTTGTGAAGAAAAATATGGACTGGATGACGAAAAAGACTTTTGAAACGATATTTACCAAAAAATGCTCTAGACTAAACTAAACTGCTCTACACACTGAATAATTTTACAAAATTCGATTGAATGTTTAAGGTATTTCGCTGTGAGATCCTTATTCTTGTAATAACTTAGAAACTTCAAGTGCATGCACGTACCATAATGAAACTGTTACTCCACGTTCGCTTCACTGCAGCATACAGAAAGTAGCAATTTCAGGTGAATTGAGGCACTAATTTGTGTAATAGAAAATTCGAAGTGGTAGTCCATGTATGGCCATTTGTGGACTTCGCCTTAACACAGAAAGTTCGGTTAAACATTGATTCCCACTTTAACTCCTATTTTAGCTTTACACGGTAAAAAGTTGTTATAACTAATCCACATGCTCTTGCACTTGACTTAGTCTGTCATGCTGCACTACGAATCGAAGTGATTTATCATTGATTTTCAAGTGATTTGCGTGTAGAGATAAATTGATTTGTCGTTGTAAAATATGTACTGTATAACACCTTTAAATCAAAATGATTATCGTTTGTATTGGCACCACTGTTTTCATGCATTGAATTTGATTAGTTTGGTTTTGTAAGCAAAAAAAAACGCACATGCGAAACATCACTCGCGAAGGTGGCAAGTCAACAACAAATGAAGTCAAATGAGAGAAGCGGTAATTCTTCATTTCAACCCGAAATAATTTGCATTCTAGAGCGTGAGTATTATGAAATTGATGCTATATTGAATGATAGTGTATAATAGAAGTTCTATTACAAAAATGTCAAACTTATCATTTATTGCTCAATGTTTCATCTTGCTACTACTACAAGCCTTGCAATGTTGTTCAATATCACTTGGAAACATTTGATCTGGGTAGTAATATGATACATGTTCTTTGGCCATATTCTGAATAACATATAACAAGGCTTGCAGTATGAACAAGTCAATATATTTATTTAAACCCATTTTCAGCATACATGAAATCCACGGATAAATTAGTTAAACTTAAAGTGATAGATTGTTAATATGAGTATAGTTGACATTTCGAGTTCAAAGCACAGCGCATCAACAGCGATGTGCAATACAATCTAAAATGAAGTGATTTGCTGTTGATTTCTTCGTTCTTCGATATGATCTCTTCCAAAGGATTTGCACATCGAATTGCAATGTTTGGCAAGTAGTGCAAATTCAACAGCAAATCACTTTACATGAACATGATGTTTTTTTAACGTGTACGAAGATGAGAATCGGCGCCGGTGGTGTTGTGGTAAGCGTGATTACCTCTCACTCCAGCAGGCCTGGGTTCAAGGGAAGTAAAGCCGTTGGTCCCCGGTTAATGAGTTGATGGGTCGATAGGTAAGATCCAGGTGTGGGAGCTGCCTCCCTGGCGTCGGTAGCTTTGGTGCTGAGCACAGAAAATAAATCAAGGAAAAATAAAATCAATCTATCCGAAAAAGTGGCTTCAATTTTGAAACTGAATATGGAATATACAATAAAAAACAGCTACCTGATGTGTTTAACTTTAAAGTTAAGGGCCACCCACATTAGATCCGTTTGCGTTGCGTTGACGTTAATTTGACAGTTAGACAATAGATTGTTAAAAGCGGTCAGACGGACCACTTCGCTAAGCCCTCGATCCCTGGTCTAGCCAACGGGGATCACTGAGGGTGGGTTCTACAACAACCTCTTTTTTACTGGCTTTAGCTCGAGCATGAAAAAGGAACCTTCAGGGTCGGCTGTAGGTAGGATGGTTCGATCAAGGAATTGAAAGCACTTTCTCTCTTGTTAATTAGCTTTTTATTTCGACTTACTGTGTGTGTGTTTATGTGGGTAGTGTCTCACGATGCGGCCGGATGCAAGCACGAAATGCGGGAAGGTCGCCTTTGCCTTGACGCTCGGGGTAATGCCTACGCCGAACCCAAGAGGGACGGATCGTACGCCGGATTGGCGGATCACACTCCTTCAGACGTCGGCGTGGAAGTCCAATCGCACGCCGGAATGGCGGATAACTTGCTGGACAATTCAGGCGATTAATAATGGGTCCTAAGGAAAGAACGTCCCAGGGTGGGTATTAGGAGGGCTACCGGGTATTTTTTTTAACTTTATTCTGTTTTGTGCTATGTCCTTTTACTCCATACCTGATTCGTATTTCACTTCCAAATCAAGTTTGGTAACGGTAATTTCAAATAAACTTCTTTATCTCTGATTTACTTTTATGGAGGATAGCAAACTTAACGCTTCGAAGCTCTGGATAAGAAAGACGCTTATCAAGTTATTACCCGGTAGCTTGATCCTCATTTTTCCATACCCTTTGTTCATGTTCCCTTTTTGACGTGTCCAGTCCCGGTATCTGTGGCAACTCTTGTTTTCCCTTTTTTGGCTCACTTCATACTGTTGTGTAGTGTGTGTTGTGGTGTGAAGTGTGTTAACAAATTATGTCCTTATTATTAGCTACTCCGGAGTATTTATCAATTTTTAGCATTAACATTTATTAACATTTATAATTATTTACTTTACTAACCTACTAACAAACAAACATTTAATTAATATGTTACAAAATCTAGGTTAAATAATCTCAACAGTAACACCACCCTCTATCTCCTCCCAAAATTAATTGAATAATTTATTATCAATTAATTTTATTTAAGTTTACCTAACGAAATAGCATACCAGGGTTGAGTTGCATCTTTCATGCATAAGACTTTCCCAAAAACAGATACTTTTGCGTGTAATCATCAGTCCATAGTTCATTCCAATCATGCTTGGAATGCCAGCTGTACCGCTCAAATTCCCGATTCTGTTAATTCAGCCTTTTCATCTTCCAATATCTCAAAACAGTAAATCGTTTCGTGAAAGATGGCCGAACCAAAAACTTTGCTTGCGAACTTATTTTGATGCAAATTACTCGAATGCTTAAATGTCCCTGTTCTCAACGGCGTTGTAAGTTATTTTGTGTGAAATGAGTTCTGGATTCATTATCGAAAACGCAGTGTAGATCGAACCGGTTCTTAAAGAATCTACAATTTACGATGAGGAATTTTGTCACTTTTGATAGTTGTTTTTCTCTGATCTGTTGTGTTCCTCGCTCGTAAGCTACGAGATCTGATAAAGAATGGCTATTGTAAACGAATTTCTATTTTTGATGGAAAGAGATAGCAACACACTTATATGACAGAAAACAGTAACGTACATTCGTTTACATCAAATTCGCACTCACTCTAACAACTTTAGCTCTACCTCAACAATACGATCATGATCTTTTACAAAACACCTAGATGACGCGGACGATCGACTATTCTACAGTTTAACAAATCTGCGAAAAAAAACAGTGATACTACGTGAAAATTACCCTTAAAACCTGTCAAACTAATTGGAAGTGGATATCCTTACTCAGCGCATCCAGGTTTTATGTCTGCTGCGGAAAATATTCCCAAGTTCCTACCGCTTTCGTCGGCTAATTCGTATGAGCTCGTGCCCCTTCGAGAAACAATGGAGCATGGAAGATATGCTGGACCTAACTTCGCGTTATATTTATCACCGGCTGAGGATTGTGCAAAGTTCCTCTTATATACTTTTTGACCCACCTGATATACCGGGGCAGGTTTATTGAAACGAAGGTTGTAAGCTCTAGAACTTTTATCATATGCTTTTTTTAAACTTTTGCGAACTATGTCGTATACAGCTTGATCGACTTTTAATTTTAATCCATCTCGCTCTGTTTCAGGAACTTCGGATGTTTCTGGATCTCTTCGGTGCATTTCCCCACTGGTTACGATTTCATGTCCAAAAAGAACCCGATATGGTGTGAAACTTGTTGAAGAGTGCATTGTGTTGTTAATGGTGTATTCAATCGTCGATATCTGCGTATCCCACAGGCGCTGATCGTTTCTAACATAAGTGCGTATGCAGGCATTAATGCTACGATTCAGGCGCTCGACCGGATTTGCCTGTGAGTGGTGCCTCGAATTAGCCCAATGTTTCACTCCATATTTGGCTAAGAAATCTTTAAAGCCGTGACTCAAAAAACTGGTGGCATTGTCGGTGATGATTATCTCGGGAACTGAGTATCGCCTGAACCACTGTTCCTCGAGAATTTTTACGATCAACTCCGTAGAAATTTTCTTGACCGGGACAAGTACTGTCCACTTTGAAAATAGGTCAAGTATGACAAACAAATGCATATTGCCAGCCTTGGATCTCGGTAAGGACTGTATGAAGTCTACCGCTAAAATTTGAAAGGGTTTATTTGCTAGACGAGAATTGCCCATAATCGGATGTTGGGATACTGTGCTGGGTTTGCATTCTTTGCATAGTTGGCAATTGTAAACGTACCTTTTGACATACCCTGCCATTTTTGGCCAAAAGTATCGGGTACGTATTTTATCGAGTAGCTTTTGGTAACCTACATGCATAGACTCGTCATGTTCACGATGAAGGATTTGTTTTCGATCGTTCTCTGGAACACAAAGTTTCCATTCATGTTGGTAATCTAGCACTGCAGTTTTATTGGGAACCAATTTGAAAAGACACTGGTTCTCAATTTTATAATCGATAAGTTCTTCAGGTGAATCTGCAACCTTTTTAAACAAGTTGGAGTACCAAGTATCTTCGTGTAGCATAATTTCGGACACTTCTACCGAACGGGATAAAGCATCGGGAATAATGTTATCCTTCCCACGCCTGTGTTTTATTTCTAGATCGTATCCCTGTAGTTCGATGCTCCATCTACTCAGCCTGGAGGATGTTCGCCATTTGCCCTTCATGATATGAGTTAAGGCTGAAGCATCGGTAACAACAGTAAAATGAGTTCCCTCGATATACGGGCGAAATTTCTCAATGGCACTTAGCACTGCCAAGCCCTCTTTCTCTGAGGCAGCATATGCTTTTTGTGCCGGAGAGAGCTTTTGAGAAAAATATGCAATAATTTTCTCTCCTTCTTCGTGTAGTTGTGTCAAGATAGCAGCGATCGCACTATCGCTAGCATCCGACTGAATTTGGAAGGGTAACTCAAAATTAGGGTTTGCCAATATTGGTGCCGCGATCAAACTCTCCTTCAATCGCAAGAAAGC